TTATTTTACGAATGACTCATAATATTTACATGTACACAAAATTTTTATAGATATAAGATTAAAAAAAAATTATCTACATATTATATAGTTAATAAACTGAATATATATACACATATAAGTAGTTTTCATATGGAACTGGAACTTTTATCTTATGTTCGGTTCAGTGAAAATACTTTTCAGATAAATAAATTCATATCTTTATTCTTAGTTCGTATCATTCCTTTTTTCACAGTACCGACATATTGTGTTTGTAGTTGCAATCTTTTACTTTTTTACTATACTAAAACAAATATCTATATACTTGCACATAAAATACAATATGTATAGCATATGAGTGCTAATTAACCTCTTCATATTGCTTTGTTTTTGTTTTAGAATTGTTTAAATTAACTTGTAAGCTTGCGTCAATTTTAACTTAATTATAGGTTATTTAAAATAAATTTATTAAATATTTAATAAAACCATAGAAAATGAAAGTAAATTCGAATTTTAAATATGCATATATGCACTTTATATAGCCAGGTAAATATATGGAGGTTTTCATATAGGTCAATAATTTCAGTTTCATTAAAGGATTTAAGAATATTTAATATTATGAATTTAAATTATTTAACAAATATTTTGATTAAACGCTTCTAATTACATATATTATATTAAAAAATATTTATGGTACTTATGAAACATTTAATTTAAAAGAGTTCCATTAGTGATTTTATTCATTTTTATAAATCGATATTATAAAAAATTATAAAAGCTGTTCAAAATATCGAATATGTATGTCGTGTACTTATGTCGTAATACAATTAATTATTAAATTTATTAGTATTTAATACATAATATTGATTTTGTTTCAAAACACATAAAAGAATTGAATATATGTATGTGTTCTGGAATTAATAAACCAAAAATTAATAATTTACAATACTGTCAATTTCTATTTAAAATTGTGATTAATTTAAAAAATAACTTGTTTAAATAAAAATTTTGTAAACAAATTTTGTAAAATCAATAAATTTGAATTTACCAAATTTGTTGTAATTACAAAAACAATCAATTTTACAAAATATTTATTTCTTGTACTTGTTATTTAAAATGTGCTAAATATTAGCACATTATGATTTTGTATAAACAGTATTAAAAAGTATTTTGATTTAAAAACTAATTTTAGTAAAAAAAAGGCTATACTTAACACGTCATATAAATCGAATATCTTCTCGAAATTTTATGAATGAGGTGAAATGATATATGTATGTAAAACTCAATAGATTAGTTGAATTTAAAGAATATGATTTTTAACGTTAATATGTTAATTATTGAATAAGGACTGTTTTTTTCAAAATTATATAAAATTTTGGTATACAAAAATATACATTTACCAATGAATAAACGTGTACGTTTGTATAAATATTCAATATTTATGAATAATCACGATGATATTTGTGATTCTAACAATATTGTTGCTAACTAATTTTTTGTTGATCCTACAAATTAAAGAAATAATTTTAAATAATTTATGTAGGTGTCATTATTAAATGAAACTTTTTTTTAAGAATTGAATTGTTCAGAATCATCGCAATATTGGAACTAACATTACTCAATATTTCAAATTCTTTATTATATATATTGAACATTTTCTAAATGATTACAATTGCAGTTTCCATATTATAGGTACAGACAACATTGTACAAATTTTGGTAAATAACCATTATAAATTGTTTTGTGTGTATACATATTTCGTTTTCAAAAATCTAGATTTATAACTTTAAATTTTTAGGATATTGAAAGTTATTTTTGATTTATTAATTTCAATAAAATTTATTACAATTTTTGTTTTATTTTGTTTAATCAATATTAAATGAAATGAAGAAGAAAATGGGATTCTCATTACACATTAACTTATAACTAAAGTTTTAAAATTTTTAAATTAATTTTATTCTGAAAAATGTATAGAAAAATAAATTTAACAATTTTATATATAATTTTTAATTATTAAAATATATAATTTTTTTTTAGTAAAAATACTTATTTCAAATAATTTAATATAAAAAATTCGTCAATTAAAAGAAATCTTTAATAATTTCCGTTTTAGTAAAACTGTAAATTTTTTTATTAAAATTCAAAAAATTCTTGCAACTATTTTATTTATTTAATCAAATTATGCTCAATTCAAAATCCAATTGAAAGAATTGACTCTTGAGTGTGTCATATTGATTAATATTTTTATATTATATAAGCTTGCAATTTTAAAAGTTATTTATTTAAAATCTTTATTATATCAAACCTTTAATATTTAAAGGATTCAATTTTATTTTATATTTGTTTTAAATTTCGTTTTTCTTAAATTTTGTCACTATAAAAATTCACAATATGTATTAGGTTTTGAAACTTTTTTTCAAAATTTATCTGAGTCATGGTTTAAATTTACCCTTTGCTCATACTTTCTCAAATATTCCATTCAATAATAATAAAAATGGAAAAAAAAAATCAGAACCAAATCGGTCTTTTAAGAATTCAAAACCGGAATTCTAACGTTATCAATTTTGAATTAATTTTGATCTTTAATTTATTTAAACAAAAAATCTTTTTTTCCTTTTCCATTGGCTACATAATAATTAACGTCATGGACATCCATTTATATATATACTCGTAAGTATATAAGTAATACTAAGAGATCAAAAATATTAAAAACATATTAAAAATTTTTGTTATTTAAGAATAAGAAATATACTCGTATCTATAGGGATGAGTCAGTTTATCAAAAATAATTAATTAAGTAATTTGATTAAAATTAAATTTTGAACTTTAAGTAAATTAAAAATTTTTAATAATATTAAGTTGTTATAGAAAGATATAAAATATATTTTGCATAATAATATGTTGATTACATTTACAAAAAACAAAATATTAAATTTAAAAGGGCTTTCGAATTTGATTCTGGTTTTGGCTCACATATGCATATTAAAAAATATTAAGGACATCAATAAAAAATCTTGAATATAAAAAGTAAATAATTAAAATTTATTTCACCCCCTCCCCCTCCCCCATCCTTACTTCAACTTCTAAAGCATCAACACCTTATGTCAAAATATTTTTAAAACTAACTGGAAATTTCCTCCCAAATTAATCACTTATAATAACAAAAGACAAAATAAAAACAATTTGCATAATTTATCTTTTGCTTGTCTTGTACTAATTTAAATTTTTCATATTTTAAAGATCATTGGCATTTTCATTTACAATATCTACTTAAAATTTTTTTAACAGAAAAATTTATTTTGCAAATGATTTTATTAAACAAAAATTCTTTCATTTAATATTCGTTCTAGTTTTTAATAATATCCCGAGGAAAATAATAATATAGAACAGAACTAACATATTCGATATAATTAAAAATTAATTAACATAAAATATTATAAAAATAATCTTTGATGTCATTAAACATTTTTATTGTTATTTCCTTTAAAATAGTGTGTTAACAAAATCTTCCATTTAGAAAAACAAAAAAAAAAAATGTTGTTATACCACTTTTAAGATTAACTAACACAAATAATAAAGATCGAATCGGAAATGTCTTCTGATTAAACTTTTTTAAATATTTAAATAAAATTAATTTTTACCAAAAGAAGAAATTGAAAATAAAAAAAAGTTGTTATTATAAATACTTTTAAAACGCAAATATATTTTGCTAGGTTTTAGAAAATGATAAAATTTTTGAGTATAAATGTTGTAAATTTTTAAAATTTGAGCTAATGCAAATGTTCTTTTTTTTTTAGATAAAGGTTTAAAATTCTTTGGTCCTTTCATACCATGTAAATCTAGAAATAAATTTTCATATAAAATTTTTATGATAAAATTCAATAATTGATTCTTCAATAAAAATTGAACAATTTGAATCATTTATGAAATTGTTATCAACTTGTTTTTTCGTTTCATCATAAATTTTAATTTCTTCTAGTTAAATCAGGACAATGTACATATTGAAGTTTGAACTAATTATAGGAATGAGTTTTATAAGTTTTACAAAAATATTGTTGACAATATTTGATTTGAAACTATTTATTACGCAAATAAACGGTTAAAATAAAAATATTATTCCTTGCTCACCGCAGACGTACCTTAGAAATCATAGCAATTAGCTATAGTTGTATCTAAGGCCAAGAACCAAAAAATCTACTACAGTTGGTTACAACAACAATATTATTATTGTTGAAAGTCTGGCGTGAATTACATTCCACTATAATAGAATAACTTATCTCAAAAACGTAGATACTTCATTTAAATAAAATTTTCTTGGCTAAAAAAACTGAAATAAAGAGGATTCATTATTCAAAGAACTTGATATTTATAATTAATTATAAATTTGATTAAAATTATTAAATAATATTAATCGAAGATCTATCACAGTGTTGACTGTTGAGAGTCTGTTGGATGAAAGAGTAAAATTCGTAAAGTTTGTTTTTAAAACTATGCTATGCATAATTATGAATACATTCTATTTAATATTTAAGTTAAAAATATATCGAACATTTTTATAAATACACAATACATATTAAAAAAATTATGCCCTATACTTTAATTATGGCTTAATTATGGCGATTAAATTAATCGAAATTACTTCACGTATTTCCTAAATTAATATATAAAATTAATATAAAGTAATTTTTTGTTATTAATTTTACATACAATACTAAAATATTCACCATGATGCAAAGATATCATAAAATATAATAAATACCAAGAGATTTTCCACAAGTAACGTAAAGCGAATTTTTCATGAGATAAAATGACAAGTGTCATATTTGATTCATTTATTGTCAATCTTAAAATTTGCCTAATACACATAATATATATGTGTATATTCGATAGCATACAAAAGTAAGTAAAGAACACATAAATCATTAAAAAACAGTAAAACTTTAAATTTTATAAAAAATGATTATATTTTAAAATAATTAAGATAGGTAAGGTACCCAGGTATGTAACTAAAGAAGCTTACTTACTTGAATTTGTTGAGTTATTTCTAAATCGTCAATATTTCCACTACAATTACTTTGTTCCGTATTGCAATCATCGTTATCATTATCCCCAGTGCGACAAAATCTTAATTTGAAAAAGCAAAAATGTATGAAATTAGGAACATGTAAGTATGTTATATACTTAAGTATAGTTAAATTTGGATTAAAATATAATATATAAATTGGTATATTTTTTTTTTGATGCAGTTAGGTAGGTAAGTAGTTAGGTATATTAGTATTAATTAATAATGTTAAATTCTTTACTTCAACAGTTAAATTCAAAAATTTATTTAAAAAAGTATTCCTTATTTATAAATATTTATTTATTATTCCTCAATTTAAATCAATTATCAATATTATAACAATTTTAAAATATACATAACATATACATATATGTATGTATTCCATCAACTCGTTTTGCTTAGATTATTCAATATGATAATTCAAATATTCAAGTAAATAACGAAAATTATATTATTATTTAGAAGGTAAGTAGGTAGTAGATAGATTAATAAGTAATACGAAAAAAGAATTTAAACTTGTTTCTGCTAGAATATCAAAATTCAAAAAGTTGAAGTAACAAGTTATTGTTATTATTTTTATTCTGTTTATTTTTTGTATTAAATTTTATATGTACATAATTAAATAGATATCGATCCTATACTAAATTAAGATATATTACGACATAATTTCAAATAATTTAAAGTAGATAATGTATGAAAATAAAATTATAGATTCCTTTGATTTCTATCTTGATAAAATATTAAAGATTTTGAAAATTTTGAAATATATTGATATTTTGTGTTTGGATGGGTATAGGTGAGAACATATTATGTACATATATGGGAACATGGAAGGTACGTAACAAAGAGAGGGAAATCTGAATGATTATCTTAAAATTAATTTGTAGTAAGTTAGTGAAGTAATGGGAATTAACTAAAATCGAAATGTAGACTATGCAATATTGTTTTGACAAGTGTATATTATGAATGCATACATATATCATATACATATATACTTATGCGTATATAATATTATAAAAATATGTGTGTACATATTTATTTTCAATCAAATATTTACTTTGTTATTCCCGAATTGACACCATTGGTTGAAACAAATTGTACTAAAACTAAATTTGAATTATTGATATTACTAATGTTTTCTTCATTATTTTTATTTTCACAGGAATTTTCAATTTTTATTGATTGAAAACCAAATACTTTACATATTTTATCACTTTTCTCATGTAAAATACCTAAATGTTTTCTTTTAATATTAACAAAAATACTAAATTGTTGTTTTAAATCACTTGAAATTTTCGTTTCATCCATTTTTTTTATTCTATAAAATTGTAAAGAAAAAAAAATTTTTTTTCCTATTTTCTATCTATTTTTCCATTATATTCACTCATTTTCAACACATTGTTTAATTTTTATTATTATAAAATTTTTTTAAGTACATATTTTTACTTTCTCTAATTTGTAATTAATCTCTTTTGCTTAAATCATAAACTTATTATATTTAAAAGGATTTTTGCTAAGAAAAAACAAAAATTAATTTCACTTTTATTTGTAAATATTATTTAGAAGGCAAAAATATTTATTTTTTTATTTTTTCTTTTCCCGGAAGTTTTTATATGATGAAAGAATGGTGGTATATACAACAATAACAATAATAAAAAAAAGTCATTTAAGTGTTTCCAATTAGAAACGTCAAAAAATGAAAAAAGAAAAAAAAAAGTAAAGTCAATTTGACAACTGACAAGCCGTCACTGTGATAGGAAATAAGCCGCACAGTAAGTAGGAAATATAACAAAATGATTTTAATTATGATGTGATTTAAAATTCGACATCGTATCCACTATTTAAACAAAAAATCAAAAATTTCTTAAACAAAATTTCTCTTTCTCTTTACTTTTTGAAAAACATACGAAATTATTTTAAGAATTTTTCAATCGTTCATTTGTTTCAGAAATAAGTCAAATATAATGTAAAGCACTTCGTTGTACAATCTGCATGGAATATATTGAGCCCTATGAAAAGTATAAGCCCTTGAATATTACGTACACGCATTTTGTATTCGAAAGTAAAAATAATTCTGAAAAAAAATTATTTTCAAATTCTTAAAATATTCTAAGATATTCTATAAATTTGTCAATTGTTTTATTGTACTGCAAATTTTAAAAATCAATACGATAACACTGTGCTTCTATATTCTCACAGATTCCGTTAATCCGTTATAAAAATGTTATTAATTTCTAGTGAAATTAGCGTACTATAGTTTCAAATTCTTGAGTGGGCATTTTTTAAATAGAAATTTATTTAACAAACTTACTTAATTCTGTTGATAAAATATTTTAGTTTTGTATAAATTATTTTAGGGGGATACCAGTGAATATACTCTTACGAAATTGTCGTTTACTATCCAAAATTTATATAAATAAGATGAATTTTGATAAATTTTACGTAAGTATATTTTTAATTCACTTAACTGTAATTTAACTTTTTAATTCATTTTACGTATGTATGTATATGTTTTGTGCACTTTCAGCATTTGTAATCACTTTCAAATTAAATTAGCAATTTTTTTAACAGAATCTCTTACTTTTTCAGTAAGATTAAATATGTTTGCAATCAGGCTTTCTCATATCACAATACGTATTATTTTTATGAATAATTAGATATTAAGAAAAAATTGCAGAAAACAAATTTTGTTAAAATTTGTTTTCTGCCATTTGTTCAGAAATAAAATTTTTAATTCGCTTCGTTTAAGGCAGTACGAAAAGCATTTTTCTAATTTTCTCAAAATTTACAGTCATACATGTGCTATTTTTCTCTCCATTAGGTATGGATTTTGATTATATATAGAATGAGAAATTTTAGTCGTTGATTTTTGTCGCATTTCCAGTTATTGTGTGTTCTACTGCCTATTATTTCAAGACTAAGACTATTCTCTCAATCCACTTCATATATACATATGTATATGTAACATAATTAATTTTATATACTTTTAATAGATTGTAGTTTAACTTTGAGGACTAATACTCAAGTACCAATTTCATCGGTTAATCTGATCTATTACAATAACTCTATAAAGTTCTATGCTATCCTTGTTCTACACGAGCTGAACATAACAACCGAAGAGCTTAGATAATCTCAATCAAGTTAGACAGAATGGGGACTTCCCATAATTCAGAGATGCACTTAATGTTCTAACTTAAATCTTAAATATCTTTTTTTGCATCATCACAGATCAGCAGGAATTAAGATTTATTTTACTTTATAAGATTTTTAATACCTTGAGGTTTTTCTATGTAATTTCTTTTAATGCTACATTTGAAGATTTCGTAATTTTAATTTATCGAACACGCTTTATATTAAGATCAAAGTTAGAACTAAATTTTAGGAAAGGCTTATTTGTTTAAAAAAAAAATATGTTCCTACCTACAAAGAGTTCCGTCAAACAAAGTTCAATGGAAAGCTTAGTGCTCGGTACATATGTACACTTTCAAATATACATGTGCGGGCGCATGTAGAAAGGAAATATATTTTACATTAATTTTGATATACTAGTCAATATATTTCTTTTAATTAATAATTTAGTATAATATCATAATTGTGATACCTTTTGATACAATTGTAATTTAAGTCATATTTATTTGATTAAATAACTTTTTCCTTTAATTTTGATAATATTTTATAAACTTAATTTTTAACATAAAAATTAAAAATTGAGAAAAAATCTTTTATATTAGAATTTGCTAGGAGTTTGTTTCCGTTGTTCTTATGTAAATTTTTTTTAACATTTAGCGATTTTAAGTTATATTTTTATTTTAGATCGCAAGTGTGTTTCTAGATCCTACAAGTTTTAATTTCTCAAATTTTTCCCAATTTTAAAATTTTGATTTTAAATTTAACTTTCTTTATATCGACAAATCAAATCAAAAATTTTTCAAGAACAAAAATTAATGTGAGGCAATGAAAAAATTATGTATATATGGATGTATGTATATACATTTTTATATCTTTTTTCTTACAAATTTTACAATCAAAACCTATAACAAAACATTTAGCATGCATCTTGTTACATTAATTATTCTTAAACCTATTTGCCTATCGTATTACGTTAAAAGCTTAATTGAGGTTTCTTTTGTGATTTGCTTTTTTAATTCTATTATTTAAGATTACGTTATATTAATTTAAAAGTAATTATACAGTATACTATCTATATAGTATGGATAATTGAAGACATTTTTTTTAACAAATCAAGCTTTTTTTAATATTTCTTCATAAATGAATTAAAAGTTAAACAAATTTAAAATTTTAACTATTATCGGGCGGTAAAAATTTCCTTAAAAAAAATTAAAAATATTAATTTCCAATTATATTAATCCGCGTTTCTTTTTATAATCTTCTAAGTTCAAAGAACGTTTTGGAGCAGCTTCTGGTGGTTTAGACACAGGCTTAGGCATAACGTTAACTGTATTTACTGAAAATAATAATTATTTTAATATATATTTATAAATCATTGTTGTATTAAATATTGTAAATAAACCTTTTTACCTGGTAATGGAACGTCTAAATCAATTTCAAAATCATGTAGTGAATATAAATTATATTCTACACTATTACGTTTTTTATCATCATCATGTTTTCTACGACCAGGTGGCGGGGGTGGTTGAGGTTGTAATGCAGGTGTTTTGTCTTTCTCTGCAGCTGAACTAAAAGTCATTCTTGGCTGTGTTAATCTTCTGGTAAATGGGTCCTCAATTCTTTGTCCCTTATTTGCAAGAATTTCTTCGCGAATGGCTTTTTCAGCATGTTCAACATTTTTCTTGCGGTTTCTATTATTAATGTATGAAATTAAGTTAATACTTCCGCCTGCTCGCCTTTTATCTAATTCAGATGCTCGACTTTCTAGTTGATCTATTTGGACACTTAAATCATGAGCTAACTCATTTTCTCCTCTTAATAACGCGGCATCACGCTCTTTCATTAAAATAGTTTTTTTCATGGCATAATTGGTTGGATTTTTACGAAATCTGTTACGTTCTTCAATTATTTTGTTAACGTCTTCATCACTATATTCGTAATTCATAGCAAATTTAATATCTTTCTGCTTTTGTTCAATTTGATCTATAGTTGGAAGAGAAACATTTGACTTTTCACACATTTCACGCCATTTGTCAAATTCGCTATCTGTGAAATCTTGATTAGATATAAATTCTAGCCGAAAAACACGTTCTTGTGAACCATGTTTGAGTTTCAATCCACGATTTGTCCTTAATTTACCAAGCTGATAAATTTTTGCTGTTTCTACTACACCAACAACTTCAGCAGCACGATAAACCGGTCTTTGATTATTGTTACCAATACTAATCCGCACAAAGGAATTTAGAACAGTTTTTTCAAATATAGGCAAATTTATGAAACGTTCCATTTTATAGCGCGATATTCGCAACTTATTAAGTTCTTCTTTTGTTTTAATGAATGGAGATTTCTTTTCGGTTTTTTCATCATCTTCTGATTCTGAAGATGATTTTTGGGAACTATCTCCGGATTGTTTTCCTGATCCGGTTCTTTTTTCTTCTTCATCTTCGCTACTACTACTGCTGCCTGAATCATCAGAGTAAATATCAGAAACTTTAATTTTATCTGCTGATTTAGACCCCGAAGTTACACCCTCCAGCTCTTCTTTTTCTTCTTCCCGCTCCCGTTCAGCTTGTCTTTTTGCTTCTTCTTCCTCTGCAAAAAAAAAATCATTAAAAATCTATGATTATATTAGCAATTCTATAAGTTATATTAAATATTATTAATCTGACCATATTATCAGTATTTTTCGATATCAGTTTCTTATAAAAATATACTTTAATAAAAACTCTTTCACTTTTTTATCACAAATGGAATAGCTTTTGCTTTTAATATATTCATTATCACATTTATTATTGAAATTTACCTCTTTTAGCTTTTCCTTCACGTTTGGCTTTTAACATCGCCATTGCATTGCTACGTTTATCATCAGTTCGATTAGCTTCAACATTTTTTTTGCGCTCTTTAGATCTTTCTTTAGGATCGAAATACTCATTTGTGGCTCCATCGCTATCTTTTTTCTCAGGGCTTGACTGTTCTTCAACAATTACTTCATTTTGCTCAATAATCGGGGCTGGAACAATTTGTTTTGGTGGCGAGGGCGATTTTTCTTTTGGTGGTATTTTTATAGGTGAAGGTTCAGGACTTAAAATTTTTGCAACTGGCTTTTTCTTCTCTTTTTTCCTTTTATCTTTTTTTTTCTTATCTCTCTGGGGCTTGTCTTTTGCCTTTTCCCCGCGCTTGGCTAACTTTAACTTTCGTTCTATTTCCCATCTTGTGCGCATTACATCTCTTCGTTCTATACGTTTAAAAATTTCAGTTTCTCTTTCTTTTTCAGATAGAGCGTTCAATCGCGCTCGATCTTCCTCATCACCCATTAAATTTTCATCATAACCATCATCAAACTGTGAATCGGAGCTAGAGCTTGAATCAGAGCCACTGGATGATTCATCGCTATCAGAAACTTCACCTTCTTCTGGTTCTTCATCGGGCGTTTTCATAAATGTTTTTTCGTTAAACTCTGGCTGTGGCGGCGACGCTTTTTTAGTCGGAGGTTCTATATTATTTTCTTCTTCTTCCTCTTCGGCATCATCTTCAGAATCACTTTCTGATTCTGATGAGGAACTTTTGTTAACTTTTTTTGTAACTTTTCTTTTACGACCAGATGCTCCATTCTTGTTTCCTGCCCAATCTGAATCGGAATCTGAGTAATTTTTATTATTCTTGTTCACGGCAGCAACATTATTCGCCCCAGCTTTTCGTTTTTTGGATAAAGACAAAAGTTCCTACAACGAAATTAGATTCTTCTTTATCTTGATATATACATATTCTTAAGTTATAGATGTAATAGTTGTATAAAAATATACGTAGTCACTGTTTGGAAAACTAATTATTTTTAATACAAAAATCAATGAAAGATAATTTTTTCTGAGTTATGTAAAACTAAAAAATTACAATACTTAGTCGCAATTAAAAGAATCATTGTTTCATAATGAAAATTTTTTTTAATGTTAGCTTTTTAAAATTAAGGATATTGCTTAAATATTTCAACAGCAGCAATTTTTCTTTGTAGAAAATATATGTACCTTAATTTTTTAAAATGGTTGAAAGATTTTCTTGAATTTCAAGCTATATCTTACCGATTCTAAATCTGACTCTGATCCACTACTTGAATCAGAATCAATTAATGCTTGCTTTCTTTTTCCCATATTTATTTAAATATGTATATGCTTACTATGTGTTTTTCTATTAAATTTACGTATTTATTTCTTAAAACTATTCAAATGTTCTTGAGAAAAAAAAAACCAAAAAGAAGAAAATTTCTTTTACACCCAACTAATACCAAGCATTCAGCGCACAGAATAAAAAGTTGTTATGTCAAAAATCAAAAACATTTTTAGTTTTAACAGAGTTGCCATTTTCTAAATATCAATACGGCAACTTTCTTTCGTGAGTATTACCGTGTTTAACTGTTTAATCTAATGAACTATTAATATAAATATTGATTAAATGGAATTCAAATGGATGTAAATTTTAAATTTATCCTTTGTTATATTCTAGTAATTACAGCGAACAATTTAGTTTAAGGTAGTGTTTACTCATCAAGCTTAGTTTGATGATTTAATTTGATTGGATGGAAATTTGATTGGAACAAAATCGAACGAGAAAAACGCGAGAATAAATTTTTGATCAGTCGTTTATTTATCGTCAGCAAAGTTTATTATTTTAAAATTTATTTTGTATTTATAAAATTTATTGTTAAATTATTTTGCATGAAGTTTTTGAAAATTTATGTTAAAATGGCGAGAATTAAATTAAATTTATTACCTTATTTGAAAAAAAAGAATGCTTGTGGGGTATTATTGTAAATGCTACCTAAAATATTTGTTATTCTTCACAAAGTAAGTATTTTCCCAGTTTTTGTAGACGAAATTGGGAAAAAATTTAAGCAAAGAAAAGTAAATTCATCTAAAACATACAAAAATATATATTAAACAATATTTTTTTTTTTAGCTCAGAAATATGAATAGAATTTAAAAAGTTGTTAATTTTTATGTAACAATGTTTTAAATAAAGAGTCAATTAACTGTGCATCGGTGTAAAATTGTATAAAAAATACTCTCTTGTGTGAATAACTAATGCAAAATTTATATTGTCATTTGTAATTATAAAATTACGAAGACTGCAATATTAATCAAATGTTACGAATTTTTGTACATTTATTTAAAGCAGTTGGGCAAATAAAGGATTTAAAGGAAAAATAATATAAAAGTAAAACAAACAAAATAACAAGCGAGATTTTTTTATTCATATTATGACAAAAATGTGAAACAAGGATAATTTTATTTTCAAATAAAATTTTATCACTCAATTTTTGTAATTGTTTAATAATAATCGAGTTTGGTTTTCTTTGGTATTATAAAAGTATTATTTTGAAAGAAGAACAAATTTTTAAATATGTAGAAAAAAAAAGCCGAAAGCGTTTTAAAATAATTTGACAATGCTATATATTTGTTTTCGAACATAATAGGAGATTTGCTTTTTGGTATGTATATTGGTTAAGAGTTAACATTATAAAATTTGACACTTCCCACACGTTTAATATCGTAAAGTCTAACAAAATAAAATTACAAAAAAAAGGAATATCGTAAGTCTCGACTGTCAAAAATTTATTCGAGAATTTTGTGTTTTTGTGTCTGATAAAGAAGAAAAATTTAATTTTTTTTATAAATTTTAAAACGCAAGGTTTATTTAATAAAATTTGGAAACAAACGAAAATCGTTTTCAAATAATTTTTGGATGAAGTAAAAAAGAATTAATTTTTAAAATTTTATAATGGAATTACGTATTTCACCTCATTTGTGTGAATTACAGTCGTAGTGAAAAAAAAATGCTTATTATTTATTAAATAAGTAAAAGAAAAATAAAACTTTGTGAAATATTGAAGAGTTTTAATTATATTTTATTAAATTTAATGTAAAATAAAATTGTGTCGAAATGAAATTTGTTGACATAAATTATTAGTATGTCTCAAAAAGAATAATTTGCAAGAATAATAATATGTTAATCAAATTTATTTTATTTTTTTTTTAATTGGCAGTCAATAACCTAAAATAAATGTTTTAATTTAAAAAGAGTCAATTGTGCTCTCAAAAAGCTTTAAGTATATTATTGTTGTTATTTTGAGATTTAAGACTTTGAGTTAAATCACTAATTTACATAACCAATTTCGTTATTTTTCTAGTAAAAAGAATTCGTAGATTTTGAATATAAATAATATTCTATTTGCAATATCTTAATCATAAAAAATTAACTTTGATAATTAAATATTAAAGTTAAAACTCAAGTTGTTGGTAATTAAGGAATGTTTTCGAACGGTCTTCCTTGTAATTTACCATTTCCAAGCTGTCTAGGTAAATAAAATTAATAACTTTTACAAAAATAATTTAAAAACTAAAATATTATTGGTATTATCTAGGCGGACCAGGAAAAGACAGTGGCAGTGACGAATTATTACCAACAGGCATGGGGAATCGTGAACCAGTGATATTAAATGTCTATGATATGGTAAGGTATTTGAGATATGTAATCAAAAATTGTCTTACTTAAATATTTTAGTATTGGATAAACGAATACACAACATCAATTGGATTAGGAGTTTTTCATTCTGGCGTTGAAATTTTTGGCACCGAATTCGCATATGGCGGTCATCCATTTCCATTTACAGGTGTTTTTGAAATTTCGCCAAGAGATCACGATGAACTGGGTGATCAATTTAGATTCCGTCAAAGTATTCAAATTGGTTGCACAGATTTCACAAATGAAGATGTACGTAGAATAGTAGATGAATTAGGCAACCAATTTCGTGGTGATAGATACCATTTAATGAATAATAATTGTAATCATTTCTCTAGTTCACTGACACAGGTAACTTATAAATGTTTAAAATAAATTGTAATTGTAGTTATTCAAGCATTATATTTTTAGATTCTTTGCGGCCAAGAAATACCAAGTTGGGTTAATCGATTAGCTCATTTTAGTTCTTGTGTGCCATTTCTTCAAAGATGTTTACCAAGGTAAAATTTTTGAAAATTTTAAAAATATAAATTTAAGACCAATCTGAAAAACGAAAAGTTTAATTTGTTAAATCATTTTAATTAGAGAGTGGTTAACGCCGAATGCCTTACAACAGTCAATCACAGCCATTCAAGATAGAGATTCGGATACGAGCCCACTTTGAAAATAAATTAATTTAATTTTAATAAATTTAAAGTTGATTTTGAAAATGAGAACTTTAAAAATTAAATTTTAAAATTAAACTGAGAAAAGAAAACGTCTTTATAATTGTTATATAAATATTAAATTGAACAACAATTAATTATAGTTTTTAATTGCCATTAATTATTAAGTAAGAAAAATAATATAAACTTCATAAAACTCAAAAGAAAAGAAAAAACAAAACAAAAGCGAACAAAAAAACAAACATCATGTGCTAAATATATAAAAATTATAAATTGATAAAATTTTAATTCATAAAAGGAGTCAACTTTAAAATTAATTGTATAGATTAATAGTAATAAAACCTAAATATAAAATTTGTTCACCCCATTAAATATTATTTTATAATAAGTCATAAATTAAAAAAATATTTTATTAAATATTTTAAAAAAAACAAACTGAATAAAACAAAATGAAATTCTTATAACAGATTTTTAGCACAAATCAATTTTTAAGATTTACAAATAAATTAAAAAAAATTAAAATGAAAATTTTTATTTATTTAAATTAAATTAAAAGTGATTAGATTCTGTTTTAACATTTACACATTTGTGCATTAAAAATAATGTAAAATGTATGTATATATAAAAGTTTTGTATTTATTACGATTGTATGTAAACATATGAATGTAAAAAAAGTTTATTCTTATTTCTTTGACGTGCTATTTTATAAACAGTTTGTTATAAGGATTTTATACTGTTAAATTAAGCTCAGTTTTTTATATATTAAAATCATTTACACAACTTAAATTTGATATAGAATAAACTTTTACAATGCTAAAAAGAAAATTAAAAAGCATGTAAAGTATGTTTCAAATTTAATAATTGAAAAAACGAAAAACGCACACCAATATTTAGTTAATTTTCTTTTATATGTAATAACTTAAAGATTTGGTTTTCAATATTTTTGTATGCCTGTTGTTAATGTTTCGCATTTAATTTGACGTCCATTCATAAATATTCTTAAGTATTGGCTTAGTTACTATTTACTTTTTTTACTCTTTAATTTTGATCAAATCTATGAAAAATATAAAACTGATTTAAGGACATTGAATATATGTTTAAAAAATAAATTATAATAATATATATTATAATAAAATGAGATTAGCTATTATGAAAACTAAAGAATATACGAATATTTATCTATTAAGTATATTAATAATGTATTTTTATACGCTTCAAAAAAAAAAAATTTTAAATTGCCTAATATTGTATATGAGAAATTTATAAAAAAAAAATAAAATAAATTCACTAATTAAAAACAGGTCATTCAAGTCATTATAGTGTGTAAGTATTCACTACTATAAAAGGTTATCATATTTTCTAACAATTTCAAATATTGCTTAAAATTTTGTTTGGATAATTTGATTGTTTCTATTGTTTCTTTTACATATTTATAAGGGATAAGAAGCAGACAATAATTTAGATATTTATGTTGCTTAAAAATTTAACTAATTTAAACCCAATCCAAAATATATTTACGGTTTTTATGCAAGAATAATTTTTTAATTTCATTATTATGTGTTTAATTTTTTAATGTGTTTCTTTAAGTATTTTTAAACGAAATGTAACAAGAAATAGAAAATGGGGAATACATATTTTCTTTATTGGAATATTATATACTTATTTGGCTTCGTTGCCTCATTTTTCAATAGAACGTTTTATATGAATTTTTTATCTGGAGCATAATACATATTATGCGCGTATATAATAAAGTCTTAATTTTAAATCTTATAAGAAATTATAATTTCTTTTTGTTGAAGTAAAAGAAACTACTACTTTTTTAGTTTATTTATAATTTTATTTATACATGTGTATATAAAAGTGTATGTATATAAAAATATATAGCTATATAGAATAACATTAATTTGTTATAATAATGTTAACATTTACATCAAATATAATAAAAATATTAAAATTGAATTGCACAAATCAATTATTTTTAATTTACATACATTATAAATATACATAAATAAATCAATATGCTCACATTTTTATGTTAATTGTCTATATTTTATAATTATTTTTAGCTACATAATAAATATTTCTTAGCGAACAATATACGTATAATATTATATCATACACATATTCATAAGTTATTTTACATACACACATACATACGATAAAATTTTAAGAAAATTATTAATAGATTTGCATAAATTGTTTATTTTAATTTCATAAAAAATTTAAAATAATCATTGTTTTTAAATGTTCTTTTACATTATAATTTGTCATGGAAAAAAATTAAAAACAAAAAAAAAATAACGAACAAATTCGTGAAATCACTGTTGACAATTTGCATAAATAACTTTAATTATAAATAGTATAGAATAATAATTATTATTATTGAAATAATTCATTCTGTTTCAAAACATGATAGTAGAAATTTTGGTCTTTTTTTTTTTGTTACATGAAGCTGTTAAATGTGTTCATAGAATCTAAAAATGTAACAAAGAAAAAAAAAATCATTTAGTTCATCTAATTTATTGATTAGTTTCTATTTTCAATAAATTCTAAATTAGAATTTTATATTACATTATATGATAACATTAAATAATTTTAATTTCGCAAACAAACAAAATTTTTCAAAATCCGCCTTGAAGCAGTGCGATACTTTTAAAATCTTAAAGCGATTTTTTAATACTTGAAAAGCTCTCTGAGACAAGATTTTAAACGCATCTCTTGAGCTGGAATATCATTTGAAAGTATTGTGGTTTCTAGCGTAGAATTTCATGTTTTAAAATTGGTTTTACGAAAATTACAAAATTTCGGTTAATATCGCATCTTTACGTGATGCGTCTAAGAAAATAGTTTTATACAAGAATAATTTGAATTGCGTATACATAAATATTGTATAATTATAATTAAAAAAAAGAAAGAAAACCACAAGTAACAGAAAATTAGTAGTTTTGGAATTTAATTTGTTAGTAAAAATCTAAATATTTTTTAATTCGTTTTCAAAAAAAAACGAAAAAATATTTGAAATGGCAGATTTTATTTAAAAAAATCATAATTAATTTATTTTCTTTTAAATTTTGTTAAATTTTATCTATTCAAATCATTTGTTAATTTTAAAAATTATTGTCATTATGTAAGAGATAACTGTAAAAATAATTTAATGGCTGGTCTTAAATTAAATATAAATTAATTTTTCTTAATTTCTAATATTTATTTTAATATAAATATCAATTCTTATTCTTTGAACAAAATTTTTATAAATATTGCTATTTTTTATATATATTTTGTATTTCTATATTGTATGTTTATATATATGTATATTGCAATACGTATAAATTATTCATTCTACTAATTGTTTTTAATATTAATTTATTTTTTTAAATTTTTTATTAAAAATAATTTCATGATTATTAGTTTTGATATTATTAAAATAAATTAAAGTTTTTGTTACTATTTAAAAAAAAAACTTTAGATTTTCTGTAGAAAAGTAACACTAAAATAAAAAACAAAAAATTTAACTATTTAAGGTAATACATTAAGAAAACCAAAGATTATTTAACATTATCGTATTATAATAATTACGATATTTTTAGTACGACACGAAAATATTTATTTTTCTAAAAAAAAATATTTGTGACTTCTAACTAAACCCCTTTTTAATTGAATATATTCTTTTTGTATTTTTTTTATTTTGTTTATACATTCGATGATTATAACGTGGGCTATCGAACATTTTGTATGTTTGTCAATAATTATGTTAAAATACAAAAAAATTTAAAAATTTTCAAACAACTTTAATAAAAAATTAACCTATGTAAAATTCTTACAAAAATTACTTTCTCATTTTGGCCTACAGATATATGAAATTATGCTTATATTATCATTTAAACTTGATTTATTTGCTATTCGAAACGATTTATAATTGTGCTATTAAAATATCAACTTCTTGATGCTTTGATAATACTTAATTAGTTTTATAAAGTTAATAAGTAAAATGGTTTTTAGGAAATAATTTTTGGTTTTCTATAAAATTAGAGAAGAAAATTAAGTTTATTCTTTCATTAATTATTTTTCTTTCCTTTATTTGATGTAGTCCATATTTTTTATTTTAATATAAATTTTTATCATCTTACAATATTTATTTCGCAAGTTTAAATATCTTTTAAAGTTAAAACAAATCTAAAATTATAATATAGCACATGCTAAAGAACTGATAATAGTTAAAGATAACGTTTATAAGAAATGTTTAAGATCAATTTTAATTAAAAACTTTATTTTAAATGAAAAAGGAAAAAATATATTTATTACCATTATTTAAAACAACACGGTATAATAAATGAAAGTAAAAGTTATAACAAAAACTTTGATTTAATGCTCAATATTTTATATTGGTTTTTACAATGGACATGTGCATATGAAAATAAAATGTTTATATAATATTTATGTAATTATATATTATTCTGTTTTTTTTTTCTGAGAAGTTTAACTAACTTTAAATGTAATAATATTTTGCACTACACGAATTTACTTGTAAAAAGGGAATTGGGTGGGGAAATTACTTAATTATATTCTATTGAAATTAAAATTGCATAGCGTTTAATATACCGAAGTTTATTTATGTTTACTATTTATTATGGTTTTAGAATTTAGTCATAGCTTTTTAAATGCTATTCATATTTTTGTAATATTTTTGCTGGTTTTTATTTTAAATTTATTTTGATTTGCAGGCTTATAAAATATATTGTATGAATTCATTTGCTGTCAATGTTATTATTTTACTTTTAAAGAAAATACTGATTTTTATTAAAATATGTATATTTGAAAATAATTTTTTTAATAATTTTTGTATAATTTGGAAAAACAAAATGTCATTAACACTTGTTTTGCAATTTAATATAATCATAATATGTGTTTACTTAAAATAAAATTTATTTTTTAAATGTTGAATTGTAACGAAAAATTGAAACTTATCACAATGCGATATTTTTGTCACTTATGAAAAATAAAAATTTGACACGTCTAAAATTTTCTAATGTAATTACTTGTCTTATTGGTTTTATATACTTTTAATTTTAACTGTAAAAAAATGAAATATAATAAATCATTATATAAATTTCATAACGGCTTAATACATACATATATAAAAAATAAATTTAATTAATAAGAATATTTTAAAATTTTTAAAACTAAAAGTAATTGTAATTGTTTTAATCAATTAAAAAAAAAGTAAAATAAATGAAATTTGTATTTTTTTCTTTCGAATTTCTTTTTCTTAATTTTTTTTTTCAAAATTTCTGTGAATAAAAATTTAAACAAATGAAAAATAATATACATAATTATAAATATATAATTAACAAAAATAAAAAAATAATATTATTCTGTAATATATTAACAAGAAAACA